TTTGGGACTGGTGGAAGAATCGGGGCTGTCCTGAATAAGCAGATCCATGGAGGAAGGAAGAGGAGAGACAGTCTCCATGTGAGGCATCTCAGTAGAAGACATTTGCAAGGATGGATAGTTTTCTTCAGGCCCACAAATCACAGGCATAGGTGAAGATTCTTTACCATATGATGCTTCGAAGCAAGGCAAGCTTTGGGGACAAGCTGGATCCACACTTAGTTTCCTTTAGTTTGGTCTCTTGTCTATCCCTCCTCCCAGGTAGTCGACTTCTGACTTTTTCCCTCTGGCTCTTTAGCTTCTTCTCAGGTCTGGTGATATTGTCATGTCTTTCAAGACTACTCCGTGCCCATCTTGTGTGTGTGTGTGTGTTTCACATTCTTCGCCAAGGAAACCCTTTAGGTTTCTTAAATTAAAGAATAAAATACAAATACGTGCCTGTGGTTTTTTTAAAAAGTAAATAATACTAAACTATGGAAAGTAAAAACTAAAGTTCCCTCTTTATGCTTTCGCCTACCACACTATTTTCTTCCGAGAGGTAAAGTCTGTTTATTTGGTGTATACACTTTCAAATATTTTCTTTTAGTGCATTTACATTCATATACTTGTACGTTATGTATACTTTGTTGGCTTAACAATATAGCTGGAAGAACATTCCGTGTTAGCATATCAAAATCTAGTTCATTATTTTCTTGTTGTTGTTAATGTTGGAATTTACCTACTCTATCATTATTTCTTCATTATCAGAGATAGAAAAAAATCCTAAATTACTGGGAATACAATGTCGACAACGACCTTACCACATCTGTTAATGTCACAGAGAAATATTTGTAGTAAACATCTACAACCAACTTTAAAGAAATATTAGTCAGAGTTAATAGTCATGATAAAATAGGGCATAAAGATGAATGGCAGCATTCATGGAGATGTGCTGCTGGTGAAGGAGATAAATGGAACAAGGAGGTAAGCGAAGAGACTGTGGCAAACCCAAGTATGTGGTGCAAAAGGCCAGGATAAAGGCAGTATCAACATGAGAGGACGTTTATAAAGGAAAACAAGGTATGCTGGCTACCAGTCAGATATAGAAAGAAAGGAAACAGGAAAACAGGATTATAAAGGAAGCTTAGAGACTAAGAATACTTAGCTACCTGAAACAAAGTGAGAACTGGTTTTGGAACAAAAAGGGGACTTAATTTTTTTTTTTTTTTTTTTGAGACGATGTCTCGCTCTGTCGCCAAGGCTGGAGTGCTGTGGCACAATCTCGGCTAACTGCAACCTCCACTTCCCAGGTTCAAGCAATTCTCCTGCCTCAGCCTCCCGAGCAGTTGGGATTACAGGCGCATGCCACCACACCCAGCTAGTTTTTACATTTTTAGTAAAGATGGGGTTTCACCTTGTTTGCCAGGCTGGTCTTGAACTCCTGGCCTCAAGTGATTCGCACACCTTGGCTTCCTAAAGTGTTGGGATTACAGGCGTAAGCCACTGTGCCCGGCCTCATTTTTAAACTCACTAATTTTGAGGTGACAGAGAGACATCCAGGTGGATATGTTAACTACACAGTTAGCTAGAAGATGCAAAGCAAAACCTCTGAAGAGAAATGAGTGTAGATTAGAAAGTCATGAAATATTGAAACTCAGAATACAGAAGGAAAGCAGAGATGTATTTTGCAACGCCTGTTCTCCCACAGCCACCTCTATTTCTTTTAAATTTCTTTTTTCCTCTTTAACAATAAAAGATGCTTTTTTTGTTTGTTTGGGTGTGGGGGGGTGTTTGTTGTGTTGTTGTTTTGGGCATCCCACAGCCCCCTCTAAAGGGAGTTGCCCCGCTTACAGTCCCTGCCAAAGGGGAAGCCATAGGCACAACTCTAAGTCAATATAAAAACTGATCAGATCCAGAGTAGGTACTGGACTCACCAACGATCCATCCATATAGGAGCCAACCACAAACCAGTGTCATCTACCTACAAGTGATCAGTTGTGCTAGTCAGATTCTCTCTCTAGGCAAAGAAGCACGGAAAGAAATGCCAATTAGTTGAAGCTGAAAAGACGTCACGAGGTAGAATCAGGGTGATGGTAAATTGACGTCATTCATAAGTCAGTCTGTAAACCGTAAGTGAGCAAATAAGCCAGCCAGAAGGAAGAATCATAGAAGCAGAAAGACCAGGAAAGGGACATACCATGTGGGGCATGAGAGAGACAAAGTAGCTGGCCCCTAGAGCTGCTTGCTTGGTTGCTAACGCCTTTCCAGCTGTAGTACACACAAACCTTCTCATCCTTAACCTGAGGGTCCATTACTACAACAAAAAGACCCTTAGCTTTGTGATGTCCCTACAATGAGAAGGCTGAGGGAAGATGCGAGACAAACAGTAACTTGAGAGGCAGTAGGAAAATCAAGAGAGAACGGTATAAAAGATCAAAGGCAGGAGAGTGTCAAGGAGAACAAGATGGTCAAATGCATTGGTCCTCAAGGAGAAGAATCCTAATTTCAGTAGACTGAAAACAGGCCACTAAATGTGAAGATTTGCAGACTATTCATGACTGACCTTGCAGGTGACAGGTCCAATGGTATGCCATCATGTCATTCCACATTTTAAAAACTAACCAAGCCAGGCGTGGTGGCTCATGCCTGTAATCTCACCACTTTGGGAGGCCGAGGCGGGCAGATCACGAGGTCAGGAGTTCAAGATCAGCCTGGCCAACATGGTGAAACTCTGCCTCTACTAAAAATACAAAAATTGGATGGGCACAGGGGTACGCACCTATAATCCCAGCTACTGGGGAGGCTGAGGCAGAAGAATGGCTTGAACCCAGGAGGTGGAGGTTGCCATAAGCTGAGATCTTGCCACTGCACTCCAGCCTGGGTGACAGGGCAAGACTCTGTCTCAAAACAAACACACAAACAAACAAAACTCACCACATATTCCTTTTATACACTTTCAGATAAATTTCAAATTCTTAACTCTTCTAACAAACAGCCTGCTTTACTTGGTTCCACCTTAACTATCCAGAAGTATTTTCCACTACTTCTCAAAATAGAACAAGATGAGCCAGCCCCCAGTCCTTTACAGCTTTGCTCAGGTCAGCCTCCTTGCCTTTACTTATGGACCTCCCATCTGCCTGGTCCCTTTTTTGCCCATCTAATTCTTAACCTGTCTCTTGGGCCTCATTCACATTCTATCTCCTAGTAAAGCCTTCCCTGATAACTACAGTTACTGAGGGTTCCTGCCTTTAAACCTCTGGGCAGCCTCTAGGGCATACTGGCCATTCCAAATAATTTAGCATATTATAAAGTAATTAAACTAACTCTACAAGCCACATTTTTAAAATATTCATTATTATATGTAGGAGATCAGTCAGAGTGGTGGGAGAAACTATAGGGAAAGGTACAGGCCTTCCAAAAGGTCAGAAGGTTCTGCAGAGCCCCGGGGAGGAAGAGCTGAAGGCAGGTGTTCTATAACCCTGAGGCAGAGGGCAAGAAGTAGGTACAAGGGAGTGTAGGGGAATGTATCTTAAACTAGCTTATTTATTTATGTTGACCAGGGGCTGATCTTTGATCACCCATGCAAGATGTTCCTGGAAGGGGAACAATAAATGTTAGTTACCCATAGATTGTGTTTGCTCCAGGCTTTCATCATTGTGCCTATACTGAATGAAAGCAAGCAGCTCCAGCTCCTCGGGCTGCTGCACTTTGGCCACTAGAGCCAGGCAGACCCCTAGCTGGTCTTACACTGCATTACCTGTGTCTGAGTACTCATTTCATCTGTCAGTTGGCCAGGGTCTGCAGGACAGACCTGGCAGGTGGTGCCCCATGTGAGGCACGCTGCAATGGATCCTGACAGAACCCTCAAAAGTGAAGGTGAAGTGACTGGGCAGTAAGTAATTGGTGCCCGCTCAGGATTTCCAAGTCTGAGGGGATTTTCAAGCTAGGCTTTCATCATGGGACATGATGTTTCATCATGGGACATGATGTTTCATCATGGTAAAGGACAGAACTAACTAGATTTCCTAGGCCAACTAAGAATTCCTAAGCCTAGCTGGAGAAGGTGACTGCACCCACCTTTAAACACAGGGCTTGTAACTCAGCTCACACCTGACCAATCAGGTAGTAAAGAAGGCTCACTAAAATACCAATTAGGTTAAAAGCAAGAGGTAAAGAAATACTCAAATCATCTATCATCTGAGAGCACAGGAGGAGGGACAATGATTGGGATATAAACCCCAGGCATTTGAGCAGGGAGGGGCAACCCCCTTTGGGTCCCCTCCCCTTGTATGGGAGCTCTGTTTTCACTCTATTAAATCTCGCACACTCTTCTGGTCCGGCTTGAGCTGAGCTTTTGCTCACCATCCACCACTGCTGCTCGCTGCTGTCATAGACCCGCCGTTGACTTCCACCCCTCCGGATCAGGCAGGGTGTCCGCTGCGTTTCTTTTGTGTGTGTGTGTGTGTGTTTTTTTTTTTTTTTT